CAGAAACCCTCATCCCTCCTCCATACTTTGGCTTAAATATCGGGGATGTTTACCCCATGCATCTGAATTTGCTCACACTCCTGGCTGATGATGTGGAACGATTTCTGGATGAATATATACAGAGGGTTTCGGGGGTCAACGCCCCCGCGGCCCGGTCTGTGACCAGACCTCGCTGTAGATTACAAATTATGAACAAATTGATTTTGAGTAGTTTTCGTTGCGTTATGATTATGAATTATGTATTATGTGAGTGAACTGGTCACCACAGTAGCAAGTGGGTATTGATATTAAAATTTGATAATGTTTGTAACGGAATATATTCCAAGCGCTCAGTAACCAAATGGTTCTAACCCTCTGTAAGCAAAATAACACATCTCGTTCCCTCTAATTCAAATAACAACGAATCTTTCGTGTACATATTGTATGTACATAGCTAACATACCTTGTCTCTCTATGTATTCTGGGTCTTTACTGTGTGTGAGTGATGGTGGTACTGTTGGTGCTCGTGGTGATGGTAGTGTTGTATCCTAGTGGTATATTCAGGGGGATATATTAATATATATATATATATATATATATATATTATATATATATATATATATATATATATATATTATATATATATTATATATATTATATATTGCAGGGAATTCGCAAGAGCAGGCGAAATATACACAAACACTGATCTCTGGCTGAAGGAGACTCGAACCTACGAACCTTGGAACAGGTACGCAGTGCTTTACCAATCTACCCACACTGGACCAATACCTTGGAGTCCAGCTTGCGCTAGACTTTGATCCAAGGCAGCCAGCTTCAGGGAGAAGGCTTACAGCTTTTCATCTCATCCTCTCATCCAGCGCAAGCTGGACTCCAAGGTATTGGTCCAGTGTGGGTAGATTGGTAAAGCACTGCGTACCTTGTTCCAAGGTTCGTAGGTTCGAGTCTCCTTCAGCCAGAGATCAGTGTTTGTGTATATTTCGCCTGCTCTTGCGAATTCCTTGCATTGTTAATATCTCTAGTAAGGCTGGTGCATGCAGGGGATGAGATGAAAAGCTGTAAGCCTTCTCCCTGAAAGCTGGCTGCCTTGGATCAAAGTCTAGCGCAAGCTGGACTCCAAGGTATTGGTCCAGTGTGGGTAGATTGGTAAAGCACTGCGTACCTTGTTCCAAGGTTCGTAGGTTCGAGTCTCCTTCAGCCAGAGATCAGTGTTTATATATATATATATATATATATTATATATATATATATATATATTATATATATATATATATATATATATGTCGTGCCGAATAGGCAGAACTTGCCATCTTGGCTTAAATAGCAAGGCTCATATTGCCATATAAGACAAGTGAAAATTTGTGTATGCAATAATTTCGCCAAAATCATTCTGAACCTAACGAAAAAAATGTATTTCACTGTGTTTGTTTAGTATTAAATTATTGTAAACAAATCTAAAATATATTTAGTTGGGTTAGGCTAAAATAAATTGCGCTTGTTATAATAAGGTTAGGTAAGTTTTCTAAGTTCCTTCTGGTGCAAAATTATAAATTTTTATATCAACATTAATTAAAAAAATATATCTTTAAACGTATAAGAGAAAATTTTAGAAAGGACTTAATTTTAAATGAGTTCTTGCTAATTGACCAGTTTTACATATTCGGCACGACATATATATATATATATATATTATATATATATATATATATATATATATATATATAATATATATATATATTTATATAATATATATATATAATATATATATATAATGAAGGTGTTGGGTTGGATGTAATAAGCAGTAGCATGAGCCAGGCAGGACCATCATGCAACTAAGATAACGTCAGTTCCTGTGATTTTTCCAGTACCCCACGGCGTCACCTGCCTTATGATGGACAAGTGTAGCTGGAGTGGGTTCGAACGCGGGGTGAAACTGGTTATTACATTTGTCTTCAGCCACGTAGGTCTGTGCGCCTTCGTGGCCGGGTACTCAGTGGCCGGCGCCTTCCTCTTCAGGGAGCTGGAACAGAAGTATGTGGAGGCCCACTATGAACCCCTGCAACACCGCACAGCTTACTTGCAAGACTTCTTCAACATCACCGGTGAGTGACACACACACCTAGTAGCGACTAGTGAAGAGGCCAGGAGCTATGACTCGACCCCTGCAACCACAATTAGGTGAGTACAGATGTAGTGTAATGAGATCCTTTATTGACAGTTTTGTCAATAAAACAATCTTTCCAGTGTCGAAATTTTATACCATTTCTCTACATCTCGTGCATATCTTTAGCTTGAGGCACAAGTATGATACATTTAGATCCCAGGGAATTTAGAGCAATTGCGAGGATGGGGAGTTAGAGATAATTTCATCTCTGTAGGTTATGTGCTTTTAAATTATTATATTCATGTAATGTTTGTAGAATTTACTGACAATATGTTTGGTAAAAAGAACACGTGTGTAACTTAACATTTTATTGTGGCAAAGTTTCGCTCTCCAGGAGCTTTGTCAAGCCGTAACAGCTTGACAAAGCTCCTGGAGAGCGAAACGTTTACACATTTAAAAGGTCGCATTAGTTGCACATGTGTCCTTTTGCCTAAAATATTATATTCATAGGGAAGCGCTAAACCTATAGGGGTCTTACAACTCCTGAGAAACTGGAGATAATCAAGTTTCATCTAATTTAGGGAAAGCCTCTTTGTATCAAAAGCTATTCACCAGCATCAAGGCACCTTCCCTTCAAGGTTTATCACTCCGCAGAGCGGGCGGGGCAGGAACTAAGCTCCCAAGACTGGAGGGAGATCTTCAATTCCTCGCGGTGGAGGGAGGAGGTCATGGACCGCCTGGCGGAGTTCGAAGCTCAGCTGGTGACGGCGGTGAGTAACCAGTGTACGACCAGGGCCCCGACAAGCAGCGCGAGAAGTGGAACTTTTATCGGTTCCCTCTTTTACTGCGTCACCGTCATCACTACCATAGGTGAGCAGTGTGTGTCAGTCATCACTACCACAGTTGAGTAGTGTCTGTTTCCTGGTTACGTTTTATTACTTTGTGTGGCCTGAGCTGTAGTTTTTTTGCTCACCCGCAGCTCATCCTGTGAACGGCTAGATTATTGCGCACCGCACATCATTGTGTGAGCGGTAGCGCAGGATCACAGAGGTCACAGTGAGTCTTTCTTTGACCTTCATTGGGTACAGTAATACATTCAAGTAATTTCACGTATCGCAATCTCATTTCATGGTTAATCATTTACCCAACTCAATTTGTGGATACTTTTCAAATATCTTATTACTACAGCAAATAATAGACTTGCTCTAGATTACACTCTTACATCCGCTCTCTGATACAGTGGGAACCAAAATTTCTAGGTGACAGTATCCTGAGACTTTTATCATAGATTAATTTATCCTCCAAGAGTTACAAGTTATAAACTGTGAACCGTAAATCAGTTTACGTAGACAGAAAAGAAGGTCAAATCAACAAATGTGAATAAAAGCATATTTAAGCTGGCATTATATTGTCTAAAATAGTTTCCCCACTTAAACCAAAGTATGTTTTGGACACGCAAGCCAAAACATAGAAATTTACGAAAGAAATGTAGTAGTTATGAATAAGGTTAGCCTGATTTAATTTATACATTGTATGTATATGAATGCAAATAAGCTAATACAGTATATGCACACATAACCCATCACTTAGGAGAGGTAATGGCTACTTTTTTGGTCCGACTTGGACCGTTGACCATTGTGAGATGGACACGTGTGACTAGTCATTGATCCAGATCGAACCGAAACGTCGTCATAAGTTGTGTATTGAACCACAGCAAGGTTATAAGATGACATTAAATAATTTATAAGGAAGACTTCTAAGTGCCGATTGCATCAACAAATCCCCAGTGCTAACACGTACTCTGGGATGCTACCTCCTCCTTCTCCTTCACCTGTATACTTCACCTTCACTTCCTCCTTCACCTGTATAATTCACCTCCACCTCCTCCTTCACCTGTATACTTCACCTTCACCACCTCCTTCACCTGTATACTTCACCTTCACCTCCTCCTTCACCTGTATACTTCACCTCCACCTCCTCCTTCATCTGTATACTTCACCTTCACCTGTATACTTCACCTTCACCTCCTCCTTCACCTATATACTTCACCTTCACCTCCTCCTTCACCTGTATACTTCACCTTCAC